ATGAGAGGCTTCACTAGAGACAGAGTAGGGCGCAGAACAGGCAGACTGATGAGGTACACTGCTGAGGGGAGCAGTGGGCAGGTCAGGAGAGGTCTGCTGCACCACGTGAATCACCTCTAGGGTGGGGATTGAACTTGCACTGAAGCTGCTACAGCCAGCTTGCAGAGCTGCGTCTTAACCCGCGGTACCACCAGGCAGGGCCCTAAATGTTTCTTTTATCTTTACGCATTGACCATTTTTATCCCTAACAATGCTTTTTGTTTTAAGATCAATTTTATCATTTTAATTTAACTGTGTGACATCTTTTCCCCATAATTTCCTCCATATTTGTGTGTCATGATGTTTTAAATATCTCCCTTGCAAATAGTATTTTTAAAAAAGGCATTTTGCTGATATTCTGTCTTTTAGCTAAAAAATTTGACCAAGTACATTTGCCTCAATTACTAATATATTTAGAAATATCTCTACCATCTTATCTTATATATGCTATTTGCCAATTTTTTTCATAGCTTATTTTTACCTCTTTCTGTCCTTAACCTTTTCTATATTCCCTTTCCTCCTTTTAATGTACATTTTAATGCCAATAAATATTTTAGGTTAATAAACTGTTGAAGATCTCTACCTTCTTCACAACCAATGAGGACATTAACATTTTTTAAAAGATTTATTTATTTATGCATACAGAGCTGGGTACAGGTCAGAGACACAGGGGAGGGGAGAGGATTCACCAGAGACAGAGTGAGGAGCAGAACAGGTTAACTGATAAAGCGGAGGGGAGCAGCGGGCGGGTGGGTCAAGAGAGGTCTGCTGGGCCATGTGGGCCACCTCCGTGGCAGGCGGAGATCGAACTCATGCTAAGGTAGCTTTAGCTTCTTAGTTCTTTGCTTGCTAATTACTGTTGGGAGTGACCAAATGCAGAGATTTACTGAGGGACTGGATAAGGGCAATAATAAATCAGGCCTTGCATCCAAAGGTGATAAGGTGGTAATAAATTGGGCCTTGCATCTAATTAACGGGTCCTTGTGTCGGGATGGGACTAGATGAAGGTGATAACGAACTGGGCCTTACATCAAGGACACAGCAATGAGTCACCCCTTTGAAATCTGAGCTTAGGACCTATATAAGAGACCCTTCCCCTTATTGAGCTGGCAGTAGCTGTGGACCCCACTCTAGGGGCTCCGTCTCAGCTGCTGTCCGGGAGCAATAAACTCTGCTTGCTCAGCCTTTCTGCCTCCTGCCTTCCTTTCTTGCAGCCGGTCACAGAATTTGGGACAAAACAATTACTAGTGTGTCTATCTCCTGATGCTTCCACACCACAACCTTCCAGTTGGGCTAGAATCCATGTGTTCACAGGTTCAAGGCACAGATTGGGCAATAGTAGACTAGACTTGTTACAGGGAAAGAGGGGCACCCCTTGTTACAGGGCAGGGAGAGGGGCACCACTGAACCCCCAAAACTGCCTGCTCTAAATAGGTTCTGCCATCCACCGCATCAATAGAAAACTTGTCAGACTTTAATGAAAAGGAACATTAATACAGTGAGCATACAACACAGCAGACAAAGAATATATTTTCTAAATCAAACACTTGAAGTTGCCCATCCCCTCGTGGGCAAAAGTCAACCCAACAGGGATTGGTCCAAAGCAAGGCCGGAAAGCCCACCACAAGCTTAAAGCACCTTCTGGCTGGGACCCATGGAAAAGGGTCAGAAATGGCCAGACAAATCTGGGAGGAAAAGAGCAAAATCAAAATCAATATAAACAATGCCATAGTCACCTCCCTACAGGTATTTCACCCACATCTGCCTTAATCAGTCCAGGGGCAAGCAACAAGCACGGTTTCTTCATCACATGCTTGCTGCTCCATGTGGCTTCCTCGGGTGACACAAGCTATGCAACATCCTTCATCTGACAAATTCCGGGTGGATCGGGATAAACTCTGAAAAATCAGACTGTCCACTGCTAACTTATGTTATGACCTCCCTTTTTTGTATAAACATAATATCAAAATATTCTGAGCAACATTCAGTTTACAGCTGGATTGTCTTAGCCACACAGGCGGCTGCCTGGTTCAGGCAAGCTGCTCCAGGAGGAGAAATTCCTCTGTCTCCTGAGAAAAAGGCAAGCCCCAGGAGAAATAAGACTTCAGGACATAAAAAAAAACTCCTGGGAAGCTTCTTTGGTTTCTTTGAATAAAAAATAAACTTCAGATAAGGCTCCCAGGGCATAAGGACTCATGGACAAATTTTAACCTTGAGTACACAGATGTTGTTTGATATACAACTGTACAACTTTCTCTTAATTTACTCCCTTTTAAAGCAAGCACAAACTACTCTCTGTTAGCCTCAAATTACCCATTAGCTTTTCCTTAGACAATCACTGATAACACTGCTAACACAATTTATTACTATCCCAAGACCCCTAACAACCTTTTGCTAACAAACTCACCCTTTTCCAGACTCCTCCTCCTTTGATGATAACTAGACAGCTGTATATATGATAACTGTCACAAAAATGTATAATTTAGCATAGCATAAATTGTAAACAGGAGAATGCTTTTTCCCTTGTCCTTGAGAATGTTTTATGGAGATATCTTATTAACTTACCCTATGCATTATTACAATTAACTACTTGCTACACAGTATAAATAAAGACCTGCTGAAGGAAAAGCAGGAAGACTTGCACTCTATCCTGACTCCCGTGTCTTCCTCGCATCCACTCCCCTCTCCCCTTTTTTGAATATCCGCTAGCTGACGCCTCCCCATCTTAGGGCCCTGCCTGTGCTGCCTCGAGACACTCCAAAGGTTGGAGCTGGTCTCCGACACTCGGGTCTCCTTCTGGGTCTCCACCCTGCTTCCTTCTTCTCTGATTCTTTCTCTTCTCTTCTTTTCTCTGCCCAGCTCCACCCTCCTTCTGGGTGGGGCAGGAAACCTGGAACTTCTTTTCCTGGGAACCACCCTGTTACAGACTTACTGAATGAAAGAGAGTGGCAAGGATGCTGACTCCACCCTCTGACTTCTAATTCCTCTTTCTAGCTGTAGAAATCTTTGTTGGAAAGACATCAGTCAAACCTCAGGTTGTTCTATAGAATTAGGAGAGGGAATGGTCAGATCAGATTATGTTGTTTTTTTATAACAACAGATTATGTGATAACTGGAAAACAGTGCCAGAAATCATTTTGTTTATGGAACTCAAATTAAATCACCAAGAGGCCAAGACCCAAGCAGGAGGAAGTTCAGCAGATAATTGACTAATCAGTATTGTCGTCTCATCCTGTTTGATTCTAAAGTTAAAATAAAAGGGGGGGTGTTATTTATATTTTAGATTGGGGCTTGATTGCAAAGTACAGCCTGGACATGCTGGGGCATACTCCTATTCATAGATAAAGCTAAAAGGTCAGGAGGTTGCAATGAGATGCCTGCAGTCATACAACAAAAGGAAGACAAAAGCAAGACTCTGAATCCCTGCGGGTGGATTTGAATTCACTCAAAGCTTCTGCTCTGAATCCTTCCTTAACCATCTTCAAAAGACTACTTTGAGTGGCTATTAATTCCTCCATTCCACAAATGAGACCAAGGCCCTCTGGTCACTAAACATGCTCAAGTGACATTGAGCGTGTCAGAACTAAACCAGGTCTGTCTGGCTTCCAAATCTATTCTTTCTCCCCAAGATTGGGGAAGAGCAAAGGTGCTGGATTAGCAAGAAAGTCCATGCAAGTTAGGCATTGCCCTTTCCTCAGACTCCGTCTCCCTGTTCCCCACTCTCCCCCAACATCCTCCAAGTAAGCCCCTTCTAGGAATCCTTTTACTGCCTTTCCCCCAATGTGTCGGCTCTTGAGTTGCACAGGGACTGGAGTCCTTGGGAGGCTCTAAGACACCTGGTTCCCCAAGGGTCAGCCAGGGCACCATCAGGCCCAGAGTTCCCTACTTTACACCACTGAGCTAGTCTTGTGCGTAAGAATGTCACTTGATTGGATTAGGAGTCACACTGGGCTCAAATCTGGCCCCCAAATTTTGGCTAATATCAGCAGGTCCCTTTTGTAAAAGCATCTATTCTGGGACAGGCATATCGCCAGGGGGTATATACATATTAACTAATCCTCCCCACCCCCTTGATTGGCCCTATTATGCAAAAGAGGAGCCTGTAACTCCTGGAGGAGGAAAGCAAGCAGTAAGGAAAACAAGCGGTCGCCAGCCAGGGATTTGAACCCACTTAGGCCCCAGATTCTGCTGTTGCCTGGGAACTGAGGGGGAGGAGCTGCCAGAGAGAAGGGAGGAGGAGAGAGGGCGAGTTCCCAGCAGCGCGCTCTGACGACAGCAGGTGATTTTTTTCTGCAGCGCGCTTTCTCTCAGCATCTTTCCTGGATTTTTCCCCCCTCCCTGCTGAACGGCAGAAAAGGGTGGGGCAGCTCGCCTGCAGCAGAGACGGCGGCGGCAGCGGCTGCAGCATCTTTGAGACTCGCGGCGGCTGCTGCAGCAATGCTCCATCTCTGTCGGAGGTGATCCCTCTGAGTCCTGCTTGGTGGCCAACTGCGAACGGACGCCGGCGGGAAGGAGAACAGAGCTCCGTCCGCGGACCCTTCGGCCACATTGCCCGGCCATTCCTCTGCGACATGGCTTAAATCCAAGCCACCTCGCCTCGTCGCCTTGCTCTGCCGGGGTCTGAGCACCGCCGCCGCAGCAGGGAGGGGCGCGTCCCAGACACCCTCGAGGGGATTCAGGGACGCCTTGTCTCTCACCCTTCGGTGCCCGCAGCCGCCCGCGATCCCAAGACCTTTGAGGACAAGCTGGGGAAAGCGTTTGCAGCTGGTAATCGAGGGACTTTGCAGACTTTATCTCTGCGGCAGCTTTGCCAGCCCGACCTTGCCAGGTGCTTTTTGAGGGAGGAGGGCAAGTAGCTCTCGTTGATCTGGGGGGAGGGATAAAAACGGTGGGACCCAGGTTGACTGGCCGAGGGTCGGGGACTGGAAGGAAGGTTAGACTCTTGCTTTAGAACCATAAAAAGAAAGAGGAAAGGCCAGCTTTGCAGCTAGCATCATGGCGTGGCCGTGCATCACGCGGGCCTGCTGCATCGCCCGCTTCTGGAACCAGCTGGACAAGGCGGACATCGCCGTGCCACTGGTCTTCACCAAGTACTCGGAGGCCACCGATCACCCTGGAGCCCCATCGCAGCCGCCAGCACCGCAGCAGCAGCAGCAGGCACCGCCGGCTCACGCACCCGTCTCGGCGCGCGCGGTCGCCATAGAGACACAGCCGGCCCAGGGCGAGTTGGATGCAGTTGCCCGGGCAACGGGGCCGGCGCCTGGGCCTAGCGCCGAGCGCGAGGCGGCGGGCGCCTACGGGCGAAGTGGGCAGGGCCTTGGCGCGGGCTCGAGCTCCACCTCTGGCGCTGGCACCGCGGACTCTGTGATGCGACAGGACTACCGCGCCTGGAAAGTGCAGCGGCCGGAGCCGAGCTGCAGGCCACGCAGCGAGTACCAGCCTTCCGACGCGCCCTTTGAGCGAGAGACCCAGTACCAGAAGGACTTCCGTGCCTGGCCGCTGCCGCGTCGCGGTGACCACCCTTGGATCCCCAAGCCCATGCAGATGCCAACGTCCTCCCAGGCTTCAGCTCCGATTGTCGGGGCTCCCAGACGCCGGCCGCCGAGCCAGGAGCGCTGGGCAGTGAATGCCACTGCCGAGGCCCGTGAGCATGAGGCGGCCTATGGAGGAGCGGCTGGGCCTGCCGCGGGAAAGCCTTCTGGTGGGGACGAGCAGCGCGACACTCGCAGGAAGGCGGGGCCCGCTTGGATGTTGCGTCGCGCGGAGGGACTGGGGCCGGAGCAGACACCAATACCGGCAGCCGAGGCCCAGGCCCTGGCTGAGGCCCAGGCCCTAGACCAGGGTCCGGGCCCGGTCCAGGCCCTGCCAACGATGTCCGAGGCCAGCAAGGGGCGCGAGGCAGCGGACGCCCTCAACAGGCAAATCCGTCGGGAGGTGGCGAGTGCAGCCGGCAGCTCCTACAGGTGAGAAGCCGCCACGGCTGACTGGCCGGGGCTGGTCACCCTAGCCTCTCCCAAAGAAGGCCCCAGGCTTTGTGTCTGCTTCACAGACCTCTTGTTCAGCCTCCCCGCCCCCACCCGCCATCCCAGGCCACACCCTTTCCCCCCAGCTCCTGCCCGGACTTCCTCCAGCTCGATGCTTCCTTTTGCTTTTCTCTGTTTGAAAACTTAGTACTGTCCACTCTTGCTTGCTCGGGTCTTCACTTTCCCACTTCAGCTGCCTTTCTCCGGGCCCACCCCGCTTCAGACCCCTGTCTGCCTAACTGTGCAGTTTCTAAACAGGCTGTGCTTCCATTCTGCCCCACCCAACTCGCTGTAATGTTAGTCTGGGTACTGCCCTTTGCTGGCTCAGCTGCTGCCCACAGGTTTTGGTGCCCTCCCACAGAGTCCCATCCTCTCCAAAGAATTTATAGCATTCTTTTTCTGTTTCTTACACTTTCCCCTCCTTCCTAGCCCAGTTCATTTCCTCCCTTCTCTGAGTCACTGCGAGACTGGCAAAGCCACACCCTTTTCTAGAGTCCCTGCAGGGCAGAGAGATCACCCTCCCTCTTCTCCACTTGGGCTTTCAAGATTCCTTCTGCCTGTTCTGAGTTGTGACATATTAGACAAATTCCTTAACCTTTCTGGACCTCAGGTTCTTATCTATAAGATGTGATTAATAATAGATTGTTCTTTTAGAATTCTTTTTACATTTATTGATTTAATATTAAATATTCAACATGGGTGTGAGCACCTACTATATGTCAGACACTGTGCCAGACCCTGTGAAGATTAATGAGGTGAATCAGGAGGAGAGATGTGCCTGGCACATAGTAGGTGATTGTTCCATCTGACTTTCTACATGTCTCATTATTCTGATTTCCATTCCCAAGTACCTCCTGCCTTCTGCCCTGCTGATGCATCTCCTTTACCTTATGTTTTCCAGATGAGTTTCTTATTCTCTTACCACCAAGAACCTCTCATTAGCACTTTAAATTCCTCATACATTAAATGTCCTCAATCAGAGGCATTTCTTCTTCCCCTCCTTTTTATCCTTCCTTTCTCTCTCATCTTTCCTTTCTCTCTCTTTCTTGTCCTTTCTCTCTTTCTTACCCTCCTTCTCCCCTTCCCCCCCCCCGCACCTCCATGCCGCAGCCTCAGCTTTTTCAGCTTCCTATTTCATCCTTTCTCCATCCTATATGTATTTCTTAATGCTTACCCTTCAATTTTGCCCTTATGTTTCAGCCCAGATCAATTACCTAACAGATCATAGTTGACTCTGAACATACATCATGGTGTTGGTGTCTCTGGAGAAGCAGATGTGCATGATAAGTAATTGAGTTAGAGGTATACAATATGTGACTTATGGGTTTCTTCATCACTGCCCCCGCTAGTTGCCTCCTTCCTGCAGGAGGGTGTGGTGGAGAAGACTGAAGACCTAGTGTCTTTTGCCAAGACCCTATATGTCACTTCATGTCAGACTGACACCCTTCTTCAGTGACTATAACAAAACACTCATATGCTGAGGAAAGAATAGAATCGACATCTTTCTTTAAAAAAGTAAAATTTTATGGTGGTGACATTGTTTTATAACATTATATAGACAACCTCTTTTGTTAAGACAGAATCTACACCCTCACCCCCAATTGTAAGGCTGGAAAACACTTCACAATGACATGGGGAAACTAACTGATCCCTATTCCTTCTTCCTGAATTCCAACCCCCCTCCCCACGCCCCCCCAGCATCTCACATGGTTTGTTGTTATTTTGACCATAAGTGATACACTAGTTCCGTTCAAAGCCCTGGGTCAGGCAAGGACGCCTGTCCTATTTCATGGTCCATTGCAGGTGGGACCATAGGAGGTGGGATTTTCAGAATATTTTTATGCTGCCACCAAGGGAAGAGCAGAAAGAAAAGAAAGGAAGCTAATTGGTGTGGGTCATCCATGGGGATTATAACCAAGATGAAAACAATGTACAAAATGAAGAATGATTTAATGTACACACATTAAATCATACAAGTTAATATATATTATATAAAATAAGCTTAAAACAAAAGAAAAGAAAGGAAGAAAATAAGCAAAGAGCATAAAAAACAAAGCTAAGATCTAGTTTTGTGATTCTGCCTTGGCTTACTTGTTTACAAGGCTTTTGATTCCTGAGAACCCTAAAGTTGGCCCAACATCACAGACTTCTGGTTTGGCTTCTTCATCCCATCCTACCATTCTGTCATGGGTAGAACTTAATCATCCAACAAGTAGGAGCTACCTCTCTTTACTTCGTATAGTTAATATCAATCAAAAGTGTTTCCCTGATTTTTAATTCTTCTTGGGTGACCCTACTCGGTTTATGTTTTAAAGTTGGCAGGACTTACTTGTCCATGGCTGATTATTCAGACCATCCATCAGGGAATGCCCCACCCTTCGATACAATGCACAACCATTTTGGGTTTTACCTTTGTTCTGTGTAGCTTCTTCCCCTTAAACAACACCTCAACTGTGCAGAAAACATACCATGCTTTAAGGTAGAATTAATTATATACATGCTGATTAGTTTAAATGGGGGAAGGTTATGCTGTCACAGCTGGTGAAAATGATTATTTTTAGTGGCTATCAAAATTCCATCAACCTGTCAAAAAAAAAAAAACCTCTGAGCACCTTAAAAATATTTTTTCTAATTTGGTCTTCTATTAAATTTAATTATGCATTTGACTTTGAGGCCAACAATTCCATTTTGCTGTGTAATTAGAAGAATTTTGAAACATTAAGAGAATGAGAGTTGCTAAGAGACATTGATTTCTCTAATGGGTACGTTAAGTGCATGATAAATATGATGTGAAATTTAGTATTATTTTTTGTTTCAGAAGAAAATTAACCAATAATAGGAAAATGCACACTTGGTGAGAGGCTATATGAAGAAATAAGATAACGAATACATAGACGATACTATAAGAAAAATGCATGTAAATTATAGGCTTACCTAGAACATTGATTTTCCTCCCCTATTGTCTCACATTTTTTCCTTGTTCTGACTCTGTATATCTTCTCATGTCTGCTGTAGAAGAGGCTTACGTTACCTTTGAAGCCAAGTTGGTTCCATTTCAATGATAATTTGATTTATAAACCCTTTTCTTCTGCCACTCTACATAAATCATGGTGTTTTACCCCATGGTGACTGGTTCATCTCATGGGCTTTACAAATGACATCTGTCATATGACATTAATGTGTGCGATTTGCTTAAATAAAGAAAGACTGCATAATCTACCAGCTTAATGTGTATATACTATGAAATATACATTTACCATCCAGAGTCATACATGTGCTAAGTGGTTTTCCCCTACATTACATGGTTGGCAGAGAACATTAAATAGCCTTTGAGCTATTGTTTTGAGAAACTTTCCCTATTCAACAATTCATCTGATTCAAAACCTATCCTCACTAGCCTTTGAGTGGTATCTTATTGCATTTAAGTGGTATCTTATTGCAAGTTTATCTCTAAAATTATTCAGTCATGAAATTGATTATTTTTAATACATTTATATTATTTCACATTATAAAATTGAGAAACATGTCTTTGTTATCATTTTTAATGTTAAGGATGGACTTCACTGGGCAGCCTTTTGTGATTTTAGACCTAGTGTTCTCAATTGGAAAATATATGAGTCATAAGGAAAGCATTAAGATTCCCTTCTCAGTCTACCCCATTGCCCTATGTTAATAGGGATAGATGGGGGAGCAGGTGCTCCCCATAGAAATGCTAATGAGAAACTTTTCCTGGAAGAAATTAGCTGAGGCACCATGAGGTAGAATTAATAAACCAGAAGCAACACACTTGGAAAAAAAAGAGAGAGAGAGCAGTAACGGGGAAATCAGAAAGAAAAGGAATCTTTTATATCTGCCTTGCAGTCTTCCATGGAGGTTTGAGAAAGGCCCATCTACCATAGCCTATACTGTGCAGAATTTGTCCTAAACCTATAGAGAAACTACTCATGTGCCTAGCTTCTTCCTGGGACAAGAGTCTCTGATAATGAATCTTCAATGACATTTTCCTGCCATTCAGAATTAATTTTTCTTTTATCCCCTTTTAATTGTCTGTTTACTTCTCCTTGTCTGCTTGATTATAAGAAACTGTGTCCATATCTGCTTCCTCCACTAGATCATGAAGATAAGGGCTGTATTTTGTTCATCTCTATGCAGTGTATTATCCCTTGTCCTATCGTAGTAGAATACTGTGTAGGTGCAATATAGGTTTGTTTGAATTCAGTGGAATTTTTATAATTTGGTGAAACATTTATACACCTACATGTTGATTCATTTTTGTTCAGGTTCATTTTGTTGAATTTATGTGTCTTCCTTCATTAGGATCGGTCCAAGACCTGCTGGGTTAGCACTAGCAGTAAATGTTCAGACAGGCAAAGGCAGCAGCTCTGACTCTCGCTGCCCCTCCACTCAGAGCCGTGGTCCTCGGCCTTGGCTGCACGTTGGAGTCACTGGGAACTTTAGCTCCTTGCCCAGAAATTCTGATTTAGTGAGCCCAGGCACCTGAATTGTAAAAAAAAAAAAAACTCTCCCAAGTCATTCTCATGTACCATTCAGGTTATGACCTACAGCCCAAAAGCAAAGATTCCCATATTTTAGTACACAAAGGCTCACCTGGAGAACTTCTGAAAATGAAGATTCCTGAGTTCTGTCCTCAAATATATTGATTCAGTTGGTTTAAAATCACTTCCAAAATTTGCATTTTAACAGTGATTCTAGATAATTTAGATGCAGGTGAACTTCAGACTTACGAAAACACTGCTTGGCGAGATTTGTTGTCTGCAAGGGACTGAATTTCCCTATTTTCAAGCATGGTATCATTTGCCATCTATTTTTGCAATTCATTTAAGTCTTTTATGTTCTTCACTTATATTTGTGATTTTCTGTACAAAAGCCATACACAAAAGTTTCATGTTTTCTCTATAGTTAAGTCTTTAATGATCTAA